GACGAATGTCGTCTTTTCTTGATCTTTTTTCCACAGGGGGATCTGGTGGAAACCTGAATAGGAGTCCATAAAACTCATCAGGGCATGTCCGGCTGTTGAATCGACCAGACTGTCGATCTTAGGCAGTGGATAGCTATCCTTTGGACATGCCTTGTTGAGATCGGTGTAGTCAACACACATGCGCCAAGTTCCATTCGGCTTTCTTACTAACACAACGTTAGCTACCCACTTAGGGAAATTGCATGGCCGAATGAACTTGGCGTCCAGCAGCTTTTTTACCTCGGCGGTTGCCGCCTGACTTCTTTCCTCGCCGTGATTGCTCTTCTTTTGCCGAATGTTTGTGGACAGTTTGTGGACAGCGAGATCCGGGCTGAATTCTCTTCCACTTCAAAGGAAAAAATGTCTTTGAATTCTCTCAGCAACTGGTGCAGGCTCTCACCCAGCTTAGCAAATGCAACCGTCCCCACCTTAACCGTCCACTCTAGCCGACTGTCTTCTAGAGGGATATCAATGTGTTCGCCAGCAGGCTGGGGACAAAGATCATCTGACCGTTCCCCGATCAGTGATTGCTATTGCTTTTCTTTTTTACCATCACCAGCTAATCAGTCTTTCTTTTCTTACCGGCTGGTGAGGTCGAATGTTCTTCCTTGACATCATCAAGGTCGATTGGCTGTTTGCCTCTGCCGGCCGCTATAACCGCAGGTGTGACGTCCGAGAGATAACATTCTTGAGCCATCTTCTGGTCCCCATTGAGGGAACCGACTATTCCATCATCCTTCTCATACTTGAGCAGCATGAGAGCAGGAATGATGACGGCCTTGCACTCGTTTAAAGTGGGTCGGCCAAAGATGAGGTTGTAGGCTGTGAGCTCTTCAACCACTAGGAAACGGATGGTCATGTGCCGACCGTCTCCTTTATTCCCCAGGCGGACGAGCAAATTAATTCGTCCGACTGGGTGCACAAGTCCTCCTTCAAACCCAACAAGGGTGTGAGAGACCTCCATCATGCTATCCGGTTTGTACTTGAGGTTGGATAATCATTTGAGACTGATGAGGTCAGAGGAGTTGTTGTGTCAATTAAAATTCGACCAACCAGTTGGTTGGCCACTTTGCATTCAATGACCACAGGGTCATCATGCGGCCGATGGACTTTGCCTTTGTCCTGCTCGGTAACGATGACTTTTGGAAAGGCGGATGTGCTTGCCGCCTCTCCTTCTTCAACAGAATTGACCATCTTTCTCAGATGGTCCTTGGTGCCCCGAATGGTCGAGCCACCCCCGGCGAATCCGCCTGCGATTGTATATACCAAGTCTTCATCTGTTTCGACACTAATAGCAGGCTGGGGAGTTTTCTTCTTGGACTGCCCCGGATTTGCCTTGGAAGTCACTTTGGACTTCACATAGGACTTCAGTTGTCCCTTGTCGGCCAGACGGTTAAGCTCCCGCTTGAGACTGAAACAATTGTTCGTGTCATGGACGACATCCTCATGGAAATGATAGTGTTTGCTTTTGTTCCGATTTTCAGCAGAACCTTTCATAGGAGTCGTCAGCCAATCCTTGATCTCCAAGAGGATGGAGCAGCAGTCCTTGTGGAACTCGTACCTTGGAACGTACGGTTTCCACTCTTTTTTCTTCTTCTAGGTCGGTTGATCGGAGTTATCAATGGCCCAAATCTGTTTTTTCTTTTTGCTCTCTTCTGGCTTAGGAGCCGGCTGAGCAGGCCAACTCTCCTTCTGTCGGTCGAACTTCTTTGAGTCCGACTTCTTGCTGGAGGAGCAGAGCTCGGTCGCCTGTATATAGGCTTCCGCCTCCCGTAATTCTCCTTGCAAAGTGAAAATTTGTTTGCGGACGAGTTCGTACTTGAAAGTAGACCCGTCCTTCAGACCCTTGAAGAAGTCTGTGTAGGCGACCTCATCAGACAGCCCATGAATCTGGATTCTCACCAGATTGAACCGCCTGACATAGGAACGCAACCCTTCTATATCTCCTTGTTGTACATTGCCCAAATCAAGACTTGTCTTTTTGGCAGGGATGTTCATAGAGAAGTTTGAAGCAAACAAGAACGCAAGCGTCTTGAAGCTATTAATGCAACTAGCCGGAAGATTTCCGAACCATTATTGGGCTATGCCCTTTAGGTTGGCTGGAAAACAGCGACACCATGCGGCATCATCCAATCCTTGTAAATACATGAGGTGGGTGTATGCTAGCAGGTGGTCTTCAAGGTTGGAGGTCCCATCATAGGTTCCAACCAACACATTTTTAACCTTGGCCGGCTGTTTGGCTTTGTTTATTTCCCTAAAGAAAGTAGAGGGTTGATCTCCAAGGTGTTGCAGCCTAAGCTGCCAATCCATCGGCTGGTAGCCGTATGCCGCCTGACCTCTAAAGAAAGCAGGCTGAATGTAAGGTAAAGCAGGCGACTGGTACAACGGCGGAGCCATGTACTGAGCCGACTGTATTACATGAGGGCCAAACTGAACCCGAGGGCTGCTTGCTGGGGTCTCATGTACAGATTGGGAATACCTCACAGAGGTATTCTGGAAGCTATCATGGTAGGTCGATGTAGAGGCCAACTCTGATAGCTGGGTTCTCTTCCGCTCGATGTAATGTCGAGCATCGGAGAATTTTTTCTTGCTACCATCCGGCTGTATGTGCCGAATGGTTTTTCTTGTACCCGTTTCTGGGAAACGAAGTCTAGAGAGGTCAAATTGGGGCCGAGCCTTCTCCTTGGGGGCAGGATGAGGAATCGGCTGGCGGTCCATGACCGACTTCTGTTTACCAGGCTGGGCTGGCTTCTTGGTCGTCTGCTCCTTTCTAGGAGTAGGCGACTTCTTGGTGGCAAGCTGCTTGATTTCACCCCTGAGACTGCTCAGGAGTTTCATAAGCTCGTCTCGGGTGATTGGGTTGATCCTGCCGCCTGGGAAGGATCACCCGGCCGCCCTAAGGGCTTCCTTGGCTGACCAGCAGTTTTCCCGCCTGATCATGGTGACGCTCCCGCTTTTCTTTGCTGCGGATGCGTCTAGAGATGAGGGACCCATTAGGATCAACATAAGTTTCAACATCAGCGTCGTCCCCTGAGTCATGGTCCGTCTGGACCACTATGTCTTCCGGAGGCCGATTGGTCTCAGGATTCGGTACAGGTTCTTATGAAGCCATCTTAGAGGTACTCTCCCCAAAGACGGCGCCAAATGTTTCGGGGTTTTTTGTCCCTCGGGAGAGTTACAACACTAAGACTGGATCCAGCAAGGGGCGCATGTACCTGCAAAGCAAACGGACCGCTGGATGGTCGGTGGTCCGGCTCCGAAGATTAAGTTAGTAAAGTATTCGGAGTAAAACGTGCGGAAATAAAGTCATCTGCTCGGATTCCAAGCTCGGGTATTGTGCTGTCTATTTCTGGAGAACGACAGCTCTGTAATAAATGTTGATGTGACGTGTTGTCTCGTGTTCCGTAATTGTCCATAAATGAGGGAATTGTCCCTATTTATAGGGTCTTTTGGGGAAGTGTGCCCTCCCTAGGGTTTGCTGACCTAGGGATTAGGGCACGCCGCAAAACGGCGCCTCAAGGTTTGGGCCCTTGAAGGCCGCCATTTCAGAGGTGATATCTGAGTGACATGTGTCACTGATCCTAAAAGGCCATTTGGGCGTCTCTTAGGGTGACACGTGTCGCCCTCCTAATGGTCCACTTAGGATCATCAAACATCCCAAATCAAGGGGATATCTGCCTACCACGTGTCACCATCTTGGAAGGTTCAAGGTGGCGCTTCTTCCAGCGATACGTGGCAGGCTCCGATTGGGCCACTTGGCAAGGTATAAAAATACCCAAATCAATATGTGCCTGCCATCTCACACCTTTTCTTTCCAGACAATAGTCTCTTATTTACAAGAGCTAGCGAATGTGACGCTGAGGCGCTCACTGATATCTTATCCACCTACCAGCTAGCTTCGGGTCAAAAAATTAACCTTGAAAAATCGGAAGTGTCCTTCAGTCATAATGTTAGTGCAAATTTGCAGGAAATTCTTCAAATGAAGTTGAACTTTACGAGAGTCGAAGGACACGAGAAGTACCTTGGTATCCCCACCTACCTCTGGAGATCTAAGAAAACCATTTTTCAGGTTATTCAAGACCGTGTTTGGAAGAAAGTGAAAGGGTGGAAAGAGAGGTATCTATCTAGAACTAGTAGAGAGGTGTTGCTAAAATCCATAGCACAAGCGATACCCACATATGCAATGTTGTGCTTCAAGCTTCCGGAATCTGTTCTTGCAAACATCACTTCATTATGTAGGAATTTCTGGTGGGGTTAGAAAGGCAGTGAACGGAAATTGGCCCTGATATCTTGGGAGAAACTCTGTAAATCTAAGAAGGTGGGATTGGCTTTAGAGATCTCAGTGCTTTTAATAGTGCGCTTCTTGCTAAACAATTCTAGAGAATTGCTACTAATCCGGACTCTCTTGCAGCTCGAGTTCTGAAAGGGAAATACTTTCAGCGCTCAACTCTTTGGGATGCAAAAATACCCCTAAACGCAAGCTACACTTGGCGCTTTATTGTCTCTGTAAGGGAATTGATTATTGAAGGCTCAAGATGGCTTATTGGTAATTGGAGAAATGTCCGAATGTGAGGTGATAAATGGATTCCCATGCTCCCTGGAAACAAAATTCTTTCTCCACCCCCCCCCCCCCCCTCACCCTGACTTGTGCAAAGCTATTGTGGATGGCTGGATTGATCTCTCAGAACGCAAATGGAGAGTTAAATACCTTAGAGATTTACTCTCTGAGGTTGAAGTGGCTTCTATTATGAAGATTAGGATTCCTAACAGTGAGCAGGAGGATGTTTTGCAGTGGAAGCACACAAAAAATGGTGATTTTAGTGTGCAAAATGCTTATCATTTAGAACTTGAAAGAAAGCAGGCAAGGAGTATATGTTCAAGCTCATCTCCTGCTAATAAGATATGGTGTAAAATCTGGAATGCTGATGTTCCTTAGAAAGTCAATTCTAGTTTGGAGAGCTATGGCAAAGGGTCTCCCAATAATGGATACTTTTTCTAATCAAGGCTTAAAAGTGGACAGGATTTGCTCCCGTTGTGGGGATGCAAATGAGACAACTCTTCACTTATTTCTTGAGTGTGCGGAGAGCAATATTATGTGGCGTTTATCACTTGTGAGACTTGATACGACCCTCTTTAGTTTCTCAAATTTTTATGACTGGTGTGTTGACATGATTTATAAGTGTAAAGTGGCTCATAGCTGGGAAACAGTTATGATGATCATATGGAAAATATGGGGTATGAGGAGTTCGTGGGTCTTTGAAAAGAAAAAAATTGATCCTATGGCAGATTGTTCAAAAGCTATGGCTTTTCTTGGTGAATTTTAAGAAGCAATGATACGTGAGACACCCATTAAGCTTCAAGGTGTGACAGCTACTACTATGTAAAAACTGCCTTCTGCCAACCACTTCAAACTTAATACTGGTGCTGCCCTCCCTACTGATGGTATGATTGTCAAAGACAATGTTGGGGATATCATAATGACTGCAAGTATGAGTATCTCTATTGAGTGTTCCCCCTTAGAAGCTGAAGCTCAGGCTGTTTTGTTTGGTCTCACTCTGGCATATGACGTTGGTCTGAGAAGATTAGAGGTGGAATCTGATTGCCTTCAGCTAGTGAAGATGCTCCAAGGGATTGTACAAGAGAAATATGCATCTCAACTTATTGTCTTTGATGCTTTAAGTCTGACTAGTATTTTAGAATCTTGCAGTTTTGCCTTTTGTCTTAGATTATTTAACAAGGTTGCTCATCTCATTGCTAAGTCCTCTATGACCAATGAGTTAAGAGTGTTAATGGAGGACTGTACTCTTGATGTGTTGCCTGCTATCCTTGGAGACAAGGATAATATGTAATAAAATTCTCTTCTTCTAATTGTCAAAATAAAAAAAATAAAAAACAAGAAAAAAACAAGAAAAAAAAATAAAAAAATGATACTAGCATGATAGAAGAAAATAGGAAGCAACCTAATCATGATACTATAAAGCACTAAAAACATCCTAACATGATACTAGTAATTAAAATAACCTAAACATGCTTTCTAAAGAAATATAACAATGAAATAATTCACTTTGTTGTCTCGTATCTCTTTCTATCAAAACAATACATGTGTTAGTAACTTCAATAAAATATTAAATCAAACAATTAATTTAAATAACTGAAATTAGATTTGGGACCAAACCCTCAAAACTATCAACCTTTCACGTCTAGGGCTATGGCAACTTCGAGCTTGGCTTGGTGTGTCTAAGTCTCGTGATGGATGAATGTTGTTTTTGGAAAGGCAAGGTTTAGAAAGAGGGAGAAAGAATAAGCTTCTAGCTTTGATAGAGAGAATAGAATAGAATAGAATAGATGATTGTTGATTATTGGATTGAAAATGGGGAAATACGACCCTATTTATAGAGAAAAATATCCGAAACGATCAGAGAAGATCGAATTCCAATCGAAGTAAAACTACTCCCATTGCGGAGCGACAGGGCTATCGCGACGCGATGGCCTGTCACGGCGCGACAGGCTTATCGCGGCGTGATGGACCTGTCGTAACGCGATAGTACTGCGGGATAATATTTGTTGTACGGAGTCCTTTTTCCGATATAATTGGGTAATCTATAGTCCATACTTTATCATTTAAATCAGATTAAATCCTTTAAAACACTTGTTTTAATTCAAACGAAATTCTTTATCTTTTCTAAAAATATAGTTATTGATCCTAATCCCTTTAGAACTTAAAATAACCTTCAAGATTATTCTAGAAAATTAAAGTAATTCATAATGACTTTAGAAATGATAATTAAATTGACCCTCCACTTGATCATTGGGTCGCCCATAAAATCATTTAATATCCAATTTATTATTTGGGTCATAGCTTCTTCATTATTCATCATAATTGGGCTTATAATATATCGCTGGAAAGCTCTTTTTGAGCCTCATCCAACTTCACTATTATTGGACCCATATCATGGACCAAATTAAATTGGATTGGACATTTTCCATAAATAAGACATGAAAAAAATATTTATTTTTCGAAAACAGAAAGAAGTATTTTATTAAAAATAGAGGAATCACGAGACTCTTTCATATTTCACTTTGTTCGATAATCAAATGACGTAAAAAGTACTCATCACTGGGTTTGGTTTTGGAGAGATACAATTTGGTGTCTACAAAAAGATGCGAGAGGTAAGAGTAATACTAAAAGAAAATACTCCCTCTGTCCTATTATATAATTCCTATAAACATAATTGTATTAGGAGGAAAAAAAAAAGATAAGGACTAGAATATACATTAGGTAATAATGTAAACTTTATTTAATTTTATTTGCTATTAAAAATTAAATAAAGAATATTGATACATTTAAAATGATATGGCCCAATCAAATTGAATGGAACATGAAATTAGACACAATAGTTGGATAAAGGAATTAGACTCGAGATTTTAAATAGAATGGAACATGGAATTAAACACAATAGTGGGATAGAGGAATCGGACTCGAGATTTTAATACCAGTCCTCTTGCTCTCATCAGCTTCTATTAAAGGAAGCTTGATTCTTAACATTTTCGTCTTTTATGTTCGTAATAGATTATAAATGTCATGTTGACTCTCCAACTAGTAGCGAAGGAAGCACGGGATCTAATATTGACCGCAGTGGCATCTAATAAAAGTTGTGATTCATTCAAAAGCTCAAACAAAAATAAGAGATGATTTCAATTATAACCTTAAAAACTACATATTTTGCACACAATAGAATGAAATTGAATTGAGATTATTTAAGTTTTTCAAACAATTGTTATGAAGTTCAACATTTCAAATTCTCGAATTAAAATCAAGTATTTTAAATCATATTAAAGTTCTCAAACACTACCTTATATTTTCCCAATTATAATAATTTTTGTAGGAATGATATTCAACAGCCAATTAGATTCAACCTTTTAAAAAAAAAAACAAAACAAACAAACAATCAATAAATATGGTTAGGTGTTGCAATTTTTTAAAAAAAAAAAATAATAATAACTATCACGGCTAATAAATCTATCCTACGCCTCAGATTAGAAGCATAAAGTTTCAAAAGAGTAGATTCGTGAAAACTTGAAATATTATAATAACAATAGTAAATCAAATTCATTTCATCAAATATCAAACTATATATATAGTAAAAGAATTAATCTTACACTAATAACAAATTAATGTACCGAAACTGTCAATGTACATGCGCAAAATTTTTTCTCTAAATTGTTGAACTCTTGTCTCAACAATCGAAAATTATCAGTGAAAGTGAGGGGTAGCTCAAGTGGTTAGTTGTGGCTCTCTAAAAACCAAAAAAAAAAACGAAAACTATCTCAAGCCCCTATAAAAACGTAAAAATCAACCATTACTAAGCATTCTGACTCACGCATGCCAAATTGCTGAGACGTAAAAATCAACAATTACTAAGCATTCTGACTCACGCATACCAAATTGCTGAGACGAATCTCAGTTTATGGTAATGAATCAATTGACTTCGCTTATTTTTTAAAACCTCTTGTTATCAATATTTAAAACATGAATAAATCTATCATATCATATCACTAAAAAAATAAAATGAAACATTTTATGAAAATTACGATTATTTTATCAATACTAATAGTTACATATACATATAGTTTCACATAATTTGTTAATTATATTAATAATTTTAGTATAATTTTTTCATGTTTCACTCAAAAAAAAATGTTATTTTTGCTATTGACAAAATGGTCCGTTAATGAATTTTATATGTGAATTTTTTCCATGTCTTAGGAATCAACAAAATCAATTTGATTGCAATCGATATTCGAATTCAAAACTTCAAAATGATCCTTCAACGAAAGAAAATAGCTTGTAGAATTGCAATATCCACCCAAACATCTCTCAATTCCCTTTTAATTCCCTCTAAATCCATTTTTGATTCTGATTTTCGCAAAACAAAAGAGAGAAAGAAGCTAACAATGTAGCTAAATTGAGCATAATTTTGAAAAGGTAAAATGTTCAAATGACTTTCATAGTTTATAACATCAACGACAATACTATATTTCACAGCAATTGAAAGTTCTATTCAACCCTGCTGAAAGTACGCATAACACGACCAAGAAATCAACAACAATTTCATTAAATGATTAAAGGTAAAGGCAATTGAGTAGAGCAATTGATTGAATATATACTTGAATTCTTTGAATAGAGTAGTCCAGTTTGTCCGACAAACCCAAGAAATCAACAACATCCGACTTCAAAATATTCAATGCTTCATTAAGTGAAACCAAATTTCCCTTCGAAAACATAATTGTTGCATGTAAAATTCCAATTTCTGCCCAAATTTCTCGTAATTCACATTCAAAATCCTCCAAATTCACGGTAGAATTGTTGAATTTCACAATTTAGGATTTTGGAATTATTGGGAAATGGTTTTGTTTTCTTCTCTCAGTTTTCTTTGGTTTTATTTTTTTTTTTTTGTTTTCTTTTTCCTTTTTTATACTTCCTCCGTTCTTTTTTTATTGCATCATAAAGGATTTCACGCTTGCCAATGCGTTACTTTAGCTATCAATATCTTCAATTATACTTTTGTAGCTAGAAATTATAAAAATTTGATTTTTGAAAAGTAGAGTTCCATACAAATCTAACTAGATCCCTGTGGGGAATAGTTTCAAGCCTTTAAAATCCCACTAGCTTGAACCCCACTGTGATCATACACTAAAGTATGGTGGCGTCCAAAAGGGAAGAAGATAGAGCAAAAGAGTCGCCAACAAGTTTTTAAGGAACTTGTAAACCGTTCACGAGGTGAAGGTTACACCCCTTAACGATCCAAGAGATCGCCAACTCCATAAGGTCATGAACCAAATAAGGGTTCGGGGATGAAGGTGCAAATCCAACCTAAAAGAGATTGAACCTGCCCTTATAATAGGCCTCTACTTTATTCTGCTCGTATTCATGTGCGCTTTCTGACTAACATGCAATCAATAGGAATAACCCTAAACCTGTTTAATCTATGTTGGTTGAATTTAATGCACAAATAAACTATTATTGGCGATCACTTGAATTATAATCATAATTAACCCTAAACAAGATTATTAATTATCTTATTAAGCGTGATTACAAGTACCAATTCCCTTTAAACATATATAAAAGGTGATCAAGCAATAACAATATAAAATAATATGCATATCAAGCAACATAATAAATAATAATAATCATTAACATTAGAAAGAACATAGGAAGCATCATACTTGATATACTTAATATTAAAGATACCCTAGACATGATACTAGGAATCAAAATAACGACCTAAGCATGATATCTACATCATAAATCAATTAAACCATTAAAGTACTTACTTGGATGCCTCGTACCTCTTTCTAATTACAAAATACACACGTTGGTAACTTCAAGGAAAATAATAATCAAAACAATTAAATTAAATAATTGAAATAGAGATTTGGGACCAAACCCTCAGAAATTAAAACCTTTCACGTCTAGGGCGAAGGCAACTTCGAATATGGCTAGGTGTATCAAGTTCTTGTGAATGCGGAATTTTGTATTAAAGAGCAAAGTTTAGAAAGAATACTAAAAGATTAATGATTCATAAAGTAATTGTTGACGATTGATGATTGTAGATGATGAATGAAAAGAATTAATGAACGATTTGATGAATAAAAAGAGTTGGTGAATGATAGATGTAGATGATGATTGAATATTAATAATCCGTGAATGAAAACGGAGTTTTTGATACGATATTTATAGGGAAAAACATCCAAAAAAGATAATTTATCAAAACAGCCAATCCAGTTTGGTTGGTCCATGATATGGGTCCAATAGTGGTGTAGTTGGATGGGGCTTGCAAAGACCTTT